AAAAAAAAAAAAAAAATTGAAGAAATGATAACGAACTCCAAAATCACTTAAAAATTGAAATACTTAAAGGCAAGAAGTTTAGGAGAATATAAAGGTATAGTAACCTAAAAAGAATAATTTTGCTTTGTTCAAGTTTTTGTCAAAAAAAAACAACAAAAAACGTCATTCAGAAAAAAAGAAACAGAAAACAAAAAAAAATTTTCTGCATAATGAATTCTATTAATTTCTTTTTATATGTTCATTACTCAAAAATCCGTAAACGAAGAGAGAAGGATCCCTCTGTTTCCATATATCGAACAGCAATAACAACAGCAACGGAAAACACTATGTTTGTTGAAGGCTTCGATTTACCGACCGCCCTGTTATACAATAAATAGAACAGAATGATAGTTTTTCCACTACAGTTGCGCAGATGGGAAAAAAAACTATCGTAACCCTCGAGTCAACCGCTGAATTGGCAAAATGGCTGAGACGGAGAGGCGGCAAGAGAGGAAAGCAGAGAAAAGAGAGAAGAGAAAGAGTCGAAAAGTCCTGTTCCATGTCTTCGCCTTGTCCTTTTCCTTTCCTTCCTTTGAACTCCTAATTTGACACTATGGTGGTCGTTACTAAATTAATAACAATTGCTAATTTGACAAAGCAAAAAAAAAAACTAAAACATAAAAGGCAAACAGAAAAAAAAAAAACAGAATCTTTGGGAAAGAAAAAATTCCTTAATATTTGCCCCTCCATTAATTTTATTTATTTATATCAACAGATATAATCCCATTTATTTTCTATTATCCCAACCCCCTTTCCCTGCCATCCCCTGTTCTCCCCTCTCCTTCTCCATTCGTTTTAAAAACTGATGATAATCATAGACTTTCCTTAGTATGCTACAGTTCGACAACGACATCTTCCCCCCCCCCTCTTCCCTCCCCCTCATCTTTTCTTCTTCCTTCTTTCATTTGATAAACGCAAATTAGTTCCGCAATAAAACTACAAAATGATAAATAAGTGAAAAATATAAAGAACTTTTATGGTTGATTGGTACACAAATAATATACTATTTAGTAAAACTTTAAAATATATATATTTGTATAAATAAAT